AAAAAAAAAAAAAAAAAAAATCAGGAGCTGAAAGGGGCTTTAAAAAACAATAGTAATAATAATAATAATAACAACAATAACAATAATAATGTTGAACTCATTTTTAATGGGAAGAATTTTAAGTGTTTATTTAAAAAAAATTTAAAGTGGGGAACTATAATGTTCGCTCTGAGTATTTCCCTAGTCTAGCCTTCCTTGTCAGCAACATATAAAACCTGTAGTAATTCAATCCCTTCTCAGACAAAAAAAAAAAATCTGCAGGTCGGGAGCCACTTTACTAAAATTCTGAATCTGTTTATGAAGGGCACAGCACTCCTCCCTTTGTGCAGCACCTGACTGATAAGCACTTCTTGATCAGAAAAATCAATTTTACTGACAGTATTACCACTTTTTTTCTGATGCCTCACTAATCACTGAGGATACCAGAGACCATAAAGAAAAAAGACTTCAGAGTAGAGTTATTTGCTTTTGTTAGAATGTTATTATCCTTTGGAGCTTAACTGTTACATTATCAGTTAGGATCAAGAAGGATCTATTACCAGAAGTCAATAGCCATAATTACCTATAATTGACTGACAGTTACAATGAATATCTTCAAAGACCTCACATTATTAAAGGCAAAACTTTTGTCCACCATAAAGCAAGTATAAATGCCTGTAGTTAAGGCAGGAAAATTGTAAGTTTTAGTCCAGGGTGAGCAACTTAGCAGGACCCTGCCTTAAAATTTAAGGGGCAGGGCTGTAGCTCAGGATGGAAGGCCCCGAATTTAGTGATGGTGAACCTTTTTCAGTACTTTCAATGATAGGAACAGTCTCCTTTGGCAGGGCACCTTGCTGTCAATTCACCACCATCTCCTGAATTCAATCATCAGTACAGAAAAGGTGTGGGGCGCAGAAAAACAATTGGGTTAAAATATTACAGGTACTCATAAGACAATGAAAACCACTTAAGGGTGTTACTTTGACTTCAAGCAGAGCAGACATGGGTAATGAATTCCTTCATCATTTTTATAGATGATATCTCACATAACCATCACAGTAATCCTTCGAAAGTAATTATCTCCATTTAACAAATGACAAAACTGAGGCTCAAAGAGATTAAGTGACAGTCTCAAGGACCATGCATTAGTATATGAAAGAGCTGTTCCAAAGCTTTGGCTCTCTAAATAAACACAATGCCTTTCCCCAAAAGCATTCACTCAGCCATCAAAACAGACATCTACTAGGCAATGTAGCTCAGTGACAGAGTGATTAACCAGCATGTGCAAGGCCCCAGGTTTGATCAAAAACAGAACTCTGCCCTCATGGAGTTTAGTGTCTTATGGGGAAGACAGACATTAAATAAGAACACAGCTAAACACATGTTGAACTACTTACTCGCTCGTGATATGGAGTTTTTTTTAATCTTTTTTTTTTTTTTGTGTGTGTGTGTGAAACCAGGGATTGAACTCAGACCCTTGCGTTTGCCAGGGAAGTGCTTATTCTACTGAGCCATCTCCTCAGCCCCTGGATTCCCAGCCCCCTTGGCTCACGATGCCTTAAGAGCAGGTCTGATAAGGCACGAGGATCTGGGGATTGAACCACAGCATCCTGAGACTTACTGCTCTGATTCAGCAGGCACTTAAACAACTGAGCTAATGGGCAGGCCCCTATTTATTTGTGATAAATAAAAGATTTCTGAGAAGACATTACAGCTGAGACTTAAAAGATGAAAAATTAGTGGGAAAGTGGGTATTTAGAAGAACAGTCTCTTCCTGCTGCTATAACAAAATACCACACACTAGATGATTTATAATAGAAATTTAACTTTCATAGTTCTAGAGGCTGGGAAGTTCAAGATCAAGGTACTAGCAGCTCTGGTGTCTGATAACAGCTTACTCTCTGCTTCCAAGATGGCAACTTGTTGTTACACTCTTCAGAACAGACAAATACGCCAGGTCCTCCTCACAAAAAGAAAGGGACAGAAGGCAACTCTCTGAAGCCTCTTTTTATAACAGCATCAATCTCATTCTCAAGGTGGTTTCAATGACTCCATTTCCTTCAAAATTCACAACTGAAATTTAATTCCCAATGCAACAGATATAAGAAGTAGGGTTTTTGGGAAGTGATTAGGCCTAGTGACTGGATTGGTACCTTTTACACTTGAGGAGGCACATTTGTCCCCTTTGCCACATTCTGCCACATGAAGACACAACATTTGTCACTTCTGGAAGACCTAGCTAGCCTCAAGGCAGCATCATGGAAGCAGATGGTGTCCTCACCAGACACCAAATCTGTTGGCATCTTGATCTTTGATTTCCTAGCCTTCAGAACTGTGAGAAATAAGATTTTTGTTCCTTATAAATTGAAAAAAAAAAAATTACCTACTCCTAGGTATTTTGTTACAGTAGCATTTAAATGGACTAAAGCAAAAAGAACTTGCAAAGATTCTCAAGAGACAAAACTGAGGCTCAAAGAGATTAAGTGACAGTCTCAAAGACCATGCATTAGTATATGAAAGAGCTGTTCCAAAGCTTTGGCTCTCTAAATAA